CTGCTCTAACAATGACTGACTGACTTATAGTGAGTGGAGTTTTATACATTTACTAGCAATGTGCTCATGTTAGCTGAAATGAATGTAATGCTCTACAGATTTACTGGACATAGTACGGATTTGCTAATAAGTAGTGAACGTTTTGGCCAAATATGCTCTTGAGAATGCCTTTAACCAGCGAGATTTGCACCACTTTTCTGTTAATTCGTTCCGCTGTTTTGTTGGCAGTTTTGTTTGTCACTCCGATTCAGAAAAGACAGATCGCAGGTGATGGTGAAACTCAAAGGGGATCACAGGAAGAACACAAGGGAAGTCACAAAACACAAAACAACAAAAGGAACTTGTACAAAACACAATATCAAGAGAAAAACAAAACAAAATACAGAATACAGCAAAATATAATTAAAATTAACATAAATCAACTCAATCCACACACATACACCTCGAAACAATAAAGCATTCAAATAAATACTTTTTTTTTTTTTACAAAACTGCTGGATAACACATCACAGTAATACTTAAAAGAAGATGCACACAGCATGTTAGAAACACAGAACAGAACAAAAAAACCACCTCATATACATATATAGAGGAAAGAGTGTGGAGAAGAAGAGAGACAGAGGAAGAGAGAGACAGAAGCCAATATAAACTCCTTGAAGAAGGTCTGGAGGAGTGATTTGGAGTGAGCAATCAGAGGGGGGTGATTGACCGTTTGACCTTAGTGAGCCATGCATACGGCACTGGGTGCGTAGGAAGTCAAATGGCCAACAATCCAACAAAAGAATCTGAGAAGCTAAGAAAATAAGTTGGCAAAAACACCTTATGCATATATCTACAAAATAAATCACAAATAAAGCACACAAGAATGATTTTAGTCAGCATGGAGGAAATCCCTCTTTAAAAACAAGTGGAGAGCAGGGACTATCATAACTGTTATAAACCCAGTGCTTTTTGTTCATTTAATTGATATTCAAAACTTCTCATTCACAAATTTAACAAATTAGTCATATAAGTTTGAATGCTCCTATATAGCTATCTTTTTCCCCCCAATAGGAAAGAGGTAGACATCACCTTGGCCAGGTCATTTGTCTAACACGGGGCTTATAGACATGGAATCTTGTTATCAGATACTAGAGAATCAGGTGTCAGAGAAAGTAAGAAACAGATCAAATTGATTTGGTATTTACTGTAAGCACTTAGTACAGTCTCTTCCCCCAGTGCACAAGGCTCAACATTAAAATACACACTAAAACAATAAAGACTTTTATACATCGCTTACCTACAAATTACAAGCTCTAAGCAGCATCCTAATAACCCAAGCACTTGTTTTGCTCAATGGACTCCTGATTTGTTTTAAAGAGGGATCTTTGTAGCACCTAGATTTTATATTACATATAGAAAACCATTAAAAACTGCAGCGATGTCAGCAACCTCTAACTGAAAGGCTCGGACAGCTCGAGGCTCGCTTACCTTAGACAGCATGAAGCCGCTTTTTCGGTCAACTCTGTCATAGCATTTGTCTTTCTGTCTGGCTGGTAAGTGTTTCAGTCACCAAGTGCAGCTTATGTTCCTTCTGATTTTTCCACAGTACTCATACAAAAGGTCCTAATCTTTGGACTACACTAGGCACTGAAAGCACAGTTATACGGTCAGGGGATAGTATTTCAGATCCATTACACGCTTATTTTGTAAATTAGCACTCTGGTATTATAACTGAATTGTAGGTCAATTTTTTTGTTTGTTTGTTTTTTGATTAATGCATTCTTTAAAATGTTTGCTAGTGTTAAGCATGCCATGTTTCACAAAGTGATATCCCCTGACACAGATGGCTCCAGTGACCCCAGTTACCTTGGGCCTTGGAAAGGTGATATCCAGCACTGCAATCACAATGTGTTAAAGTATCAGTGCAGACCAGCTGATTAGAAATGGTGCATATGTACATGTAATTTTGCAAATCCTTGTGGCCACATCACGGCGTAGCAGGGACAAATGCCACTGTTAGTGCATACAACCAGTGTGCGAGTACATGTACATATTATATATACAGGTGTAAATAGAAAGGTGTTGTTTATAGTCAAACATTGTTTTTTTAAATTGCAGTGTGCACTTCTGTTTGCCAAGGTGGAGGTCCGTGGGGTAGGGAGTAAAACACAATAGGAAGGGAAAAAAACAAATTAAGCCACACACGACAAACACAAACACAACACTCAGACGGCATTGAGAGGACAGAGACACAGTGTATAACATGTAAGAATGAAAAAAGCGCACATACACACGCGTGATATGACACAACCTGAAGAGAGAGACAACAACAACACAGAGGCACATCAGACAACAACATGACCCGCTGTTCCCATTGGTTCTTCTTCAGTGTCTTGCTTTATTAGTTATTGACACAGGACACAACAACGGGGTTATTTTTCATTTGAGCTTCTGGGTGTTATTTGCACATGTGCATACCCGCATGGATGCGCTCTTGCACTCTCATGACTGTATGCAGGTTTTAAGCTCTCACACAGACAAACAAGTAATTACTGAGTGTATATCACAGCAAAATTTTCACATTTTCTCTCCAGATTTTTTCTTTTCTCTTCTTTTTTATTACATCTTGTACAGTGTTCATTGAGATTGTCATTCACAAAGTTATAATAATAAGTACAACATTGGGCTGAGGTTAGGACTCATTGTATGAAATACCTCAGAAATCACAAGGTGAGCCCCGAAATACCCTTTGCAACCCAAACCTTAACATTCACACTGAAGTGCTACCTAACCTGAGCTCAAATGTTTGCATCATTCCACGCGTTCAGGCACAGATCAGTCTTCTTACAGGTGACACAAAGGACAAACTCCATTGAACAATTAGACACAACACTGTGAAAACATTTGGTGTATCTGCATATCTTTTGAGGTCATGCGTAGCATGTGCAGCTGCATCTGTGTTAAAGTGGGCACTACACTGCTGTATGTGCAATTAAAAAACATCCTACCTCTAGGACAGCCAGATTAAAAAATTCTGGATGTTTCCAGGATACAAGCTCCTCTATTAAAATATTTCTTTTGTTTGTTTTTTTTTTAGTGTTACCTCTGGTCTAGGGTTTGATCCAGGAAGATGTGGAGTTTGCATTGAGGTCCTGCTGTAACAGAGACCCCTCCATCTTATACCAATCCTCAGTCAGAGGGGAGTCTGGGCTGGGTGCCAGGGCTGCTGCCTCTAGTTTGTTGTCAACAGGGGGGTGTCGAAAGTTTGGAGGGAGTGTGGGGGAGTGTTTCAGTGCAGGTTGGTGGCAGTGGTGGTAGTTGGATTGCAGTAGTAAATGAGGTGTTGGGTTTTCATGAGCATGAAGATAATGGACATGGGGCAACGAAAAGGGAAGGCGTTATGGTGGAGCACAAAGGAAAAGAAGGGGTGAAATGAGGGCGTGGGTTTCAAAAGGGAAAGAGCGGGGACGGGAGGGTAGATGTGGGGCAAGTTTGGGAGGGTCAAGGGGTTGAGGGAAAAGTAAATAAAAAGGACAACACAAGGCAGGAGAGAGAGAAAGAGAGAAACAGACAGGGAGAAACAGAAGTGACGAGAAGTAAATTAATGCATGGTCAACTGTCTGAGTCCAGAAGACAGAGAAAGAGATCGTTTTTGAGCATGAATGAATGTGACATTATGGGACACAGAACAAAGTTCACCGACACCGTGGAAAGATGGAAGACATGAATGGCTGAGGCATTGTGAAGAGAAAGGAAAAGGAGAGAGGTAGAGGGACAGAGATTCTTGTCTGACAGAAGAAATAAAATGTGATACCAAGCGGTGATGGAAACACAGACAACATGAACGTGAAGAGATGGAAACAAACAGAGCAGAGCAGAAGAACTTGGTGTGTATGCATGTGTGGCAAATGCACGACTGTAGATGTGTGGATGTTTTGTTGCTAGCTGTGACTGAAGTCTCCTAACTCAGTTTATAGTGTGCTGTCCCATCCAGCGCATCTTTCCTGCATGTTTGAATGTGACATTCAAAACGTATAGTGACCTATATGTAGTTTATCTGCATTGGCTGCCTCTGCACTTATATAATATATAATGTATGTTTACATCATACTGTGCCAAACATCTTGCTGTGTGGATCTGTTTACATAAGATGTGCATGTTTTGCATATCCGTCTCCTGGTGTGAAACATACCTTTCCGCACATTCCCATCTGTGGCACGGAATTCCCTGGTATTAAGAAGGAAGCAGGCTCTGTCCTGCTGGTAGCGTTCCCGAGTGGGGCCTCGCCCAATAGGACTCCTCTCATCCGGGCTCAGCACCTGGTCGATGGTGGGGCAGTCCTCATTAGCCAAGGCGGCTGAGGCTGCGTCACCATTCTGCTTAGAATCTAGTTGAGGCAAAGGAAAGTGAAAAACACGCAAAGAAGAATCATTGTGTTACAAAATTAAACATCTTGTTTGTGTACTCAAAAAACCATTTCATATCTAATGCCTCTTTTCCGCCTACTCGGCTGTACTTGACTCGACTTGACTCTGGTTACAAACAAACCAGTGTTGGTTTGTTTGTAACCATTTCTCTTGTTCAAAAATGCTCTGTTTGATTTTTGTGAAGGAGTCGCTCTCATGACCCAGCCTGAGCCGTCACTACCTGGCCAATCAGTGGCATGCAGGCTGTCGACGTCACATTTTAAGCTTGATGAAGCTCGCTTCGAACTCTGGCTAACAAAGTACTTGGTACCAGGTAATACTACCTAATGGAAAACCCTAAAAATCGAGTAGAGTCCAATCGAAAGAGAGGCTTTAATGTTGGCAGATGGCTTTCCTTCCCTAAACGTGGTTCTGCCAGAGGTTTCTTTTTGTTAAAAAAATGTTTTTCCTTCTCACTGTCACCAAGTGTTTGCTCATAAGGGGTCATCTGATTGTTGGGGTCATTTCTAGCATTATAGGGTCTTTACGTTACAATATAATTGGCATTAATAAAATTCAATTAATGTGTACTACTCTAGTGTAGGAAAATAAAGCATGTTCTGGTCAACCCTTCTGTTTGTAAGGGGAAGCCAACCAGAAGAAATTTTCTTGTTCTACGCAGTGAATGAGCTGAGGGCCTCACCAAGATTAATATGAATGATATGGAACTATGAGTCATGCAAAAATATGTTAGTAGACAAGCTTTGCATATAAAAATTTGTCTTATTTTTTAAAAAAAAAACAGTAAATAAGGAATATATATTTTGAGTAGGTATGACTATTCATAAACCATGAAATCAGAGGACCGCCCCATGAAATTTTTACTTGATTGTACTTTCCAAGTCTGGAGTCTGCTATCAAAAGTTTGACTGATACAACTTGCTAATAAAAACAAGGAAAAAAAGAAAAAAAAAAGGAGAAAGAAAAGACACCGCCCACAAATACCTGGACAAAAGCCAAGCAGACAAGATGTAGTAAAAGCACTGAAGAAATGTTTTCTGACTCACTAATGATCAGGCCATTGGAGTAATGCATTTAAGGTGCATTATTGTGGCATATGACTGACGCCTGATGCTGCAGCATGTAAAAAGCGCACCAAGAGCCACATTACCTCGCCTCCTGATTTCACTGCTAATGCCAGAGAGATAATATGTGGGCTGACTTTCCTCAATTCGGGAAGTCAGCTCAAAATTGAGATGCATTAAGCTGTTTTAAAAGATAATTGAGGTCATTTTCCTTCCGTAATGTTTGTTTTTTCCCCCCTGACAGATGGAGGCCTTAAGGCAACTGTGAACCTACCAGTTGATCATAAATTACATATGAGTTGTGATGGGCCAGCAATTTCTCCAGGGTGGCTCAAGAATCAGCTATGCATCTCTTCTTGATGGTACTTCCACTTCTTTCTCTTTGGTACTCTTAATTCTCAGTTAAAAGTCTAAAATCTTTTTGTATGCCTCAAACTACCATGAGCAAACTGTCATATTGATTACAATCATGCAAGTTCGTTTTAGATTGCTTAAAGTGGTAAATGACATAGTGAAACTTGAATTTTATCTTGAACATACACATTTATTCATTCCTATCTTTTCAACAGTAAAAAAGATTGCATATTTTCTCATGATAAACATAAGCAGCATTAAAAAACAACAACAAACACTCACCTCTGTTGATCTCTATAATTTCTTCTTGGGCAAGAGGACAGTCACCTCCTATTCCTCCAGACCCCATCACTCCTCCTAAGACATTTCCCAAGATTCTTTGTGGTGATGCAGTAGCCATCGCCAAGGCATCTGGCTTGCAGTAGTTGGGGGACCCTGGTTGTGGCGCTCGGGGGATATGTTTGTTCTTCTTTTTGGGAAGCTTTTGTTTGGCCATAGCCAGAGAGTAGTACATGCCGAAGTTGTTGACAATGACAGGTACAGGCATAGCAATGGTTAGCACACCAGCCAAGGCACACAGCGCACCCACCAGCATCCCTGACCATGTCTCCGGGTACATATCTCCATAACCCAGTGTGGTCATGGTCACAACGGCCCACCAAAATCCAATGGGGATGTTCTTGAAGTTGGTATGGGCACTGGCTGTTGGGTCATCTGGGTCTGCACCAATTCGTTCAGCATAGTAGATCATAGTGGCAAAGATGAGGACACCAAGAGCTAAGAAGATGATGAGCAGGAGGAATTCATTGGTACTGGCACGCAGGGTGTGGCCAAGGACACGGAGACCTACGAAGTGGCGAGTCAGCTTGAAGATTCGGAGGATACGAACAAATCGGACAACACGCAGGAACCCCAGGACATCCTTGGCAGCTTTGGAGGACAGCCCACTCAGACCAACCTCCAGATAGAAGGGCAGGATGGCAACAAAATCGATGATGTTGAGGGTGCTTTTGAAGAATTCCAACTTGTCTGGGCAGAAGGTGACTCGAAGCAGGACCTCAATGGTGAACCAAATGACACACACACCTTCCACATATGTCAACCAGCTGTCAGTCACCACCTCGTAAACTATCTCCTCACGAGTCATGTTGCCCACTGTGACGTTCTCTGTCTTGTTGAGGATGGTGTTGAAGGCCTCGTGCGTCTCCATGCAGAACGTGGATATGGAGATGAGGATGAAGAATAGGGAGATAAAAGCCACATACTGAAAAGAATGAAGAAAAGGGTAAATAGAAAGAGTTAATGTAGGAAGAGAAATCAGAGAAAGAGCAAAAGAAAAAAGTCAAATTATGAAAATCCAGCAAGGCAAAGGACATCAGAGAAAATGTCAGCATTTTAACAGTATAAAACCTCAAGCCAACTGCAAAAGTAAATGCATTAATTATTCATTCAATTTAAATTAAATTAAATTTAACAACCAGTGAATGTATAACACTTATACCCTTAAATAGTATACTATCAGTTAATACTCAATTCAATATTTAAAAATGTCTTAATATGTCAATGTGTATCCTACATATTCCAACTAATTACCACATCTTAACCTGAAAACAAAAAGTGTGCAGAAAGCTATAAAAAATATTTCAGAAGCATGTCGTCCACAAATAGAACTTATAATCAGAAGGGATAAAATAAATAACTGAAAATATGTCTGCCATATTACAGTCATGTGGAGAAGGAAGTTTTCACAGGACTTTATTCAGCTCTATGCAAAGAAACTAAGAACACCTTACTTAGTAATTAGCAGCCAGTGCTGATAATCAAATTGACCCAAATAACTGATCATTAGCAAGTGTGAGCACCTCTATAAAACCAGAGGTTTTGGCAGTTTCCCGGTCTAGAGCATTCAAGTGTGTGTTAACACAATGTCACCATCTTCCTAGTTGTGGACATCCCAGCAAATTCCCCCCAAAATCCAACTGTGCATGTTAAAGTTTAAAATTCATGAAGGTGCAATGAAAAAAGACTAATAGGTATGGCTTATTTGAAAGGGTTGATAAGAGAAATACTGTCTAAAAAGAACTTGGCAACATGATTTCGATTTGCAAAGTTGCATCTAAATAAACTACAGACAGACAAGACCAAAGAAAGTTTGGTTAAATAGACAACACCGCATTTGCAGAAAACCAAACACATCACCAAAAACACTTCATGCCAAGTGTTTTGCAGCCACAGGACCTGGGCAGCTTGCAGCCAGTGAGCCAATCTATATGCCAAACTATTAAATGTCAAATGCGAGGCCATTTCGTCCATCAGCTAAAACTTGGCTTTACAATGTAACAATGACCCCAAACACAGCAACAAATCTGTTGCAACGTCCCAAAGTCTGGAGCTCAAACTGACTGAAATGATGTGATGAAACCTTAAAAGGGCTGTAAATAAATAAAAGGAAGAGTGGCCAAAATTTCCTCACAGTGACGTGAGAGACATATCTTATCGTTCCACAACCTGGGTCCTTTCTATATACTACAATATTTTGCATCCCATGGGTTTGCCTGTTCACTTCAGAAATCTCTGCAGCTTTCCTTGACACAAAGAAAAACAAGCCAATTTAAACCATCACACTGTCCCGCTTCACACATCTCTGTTTTCCAGTCTGTTTCTAGCTCATCTGCGTGATCTGCAGTTTACTATATGAAGCCAATCTTTTCCCTTCACTGTAACTTGTTCAGTTGTCAGCGAATCGATGACAGTAGTGTGATGACACCAGTGTGCGAGTGGCTGCTGCACAGTCTTTCCCCGTTGTGGTCCATTCCTAAGCCCTGCAGTGTATTTATAGATGCAGTATACTTTGTGCATTACCAAATAAATAATAAAACACAACCATGGCCCGAGGAGCAAAAGAGAAAGGTAATTCATACTTGAGTGGAGTCCATATATATAAGAACCATGAGTGCCCTCAGCATATTGTGAGTGCCAGCCTGTATTTTTGGCATTATGCACTTATGTAATATCAAGAGCAAAATGTTTATAAGAAGAGGCTTTATAACTGGGCAAAAAGAGCAACCAGTGCCACTTATGTTTCTTGAAAGGTCTCCTTACCCCCCACCATCCCTTTTCTTTGGGTTGGAAATTGGATGAGAGCCTACACATATTTTCTCTAAGTGCCTTCATGACAGAAACAGACTGGGCAGAAGGCTTAATACTGTGAGCGGTTGTATTTATTGAGGACATTAGCCATCGAGCATTTAGCCAAAGACGTGACCTTCCAGGAAAATCAGTAACTTGGTGTCCATCCTGTAATTCTTTTTTGATTGTTTCAACCATTCGTTGGTTATAATGTTGTTTTATGTTGTTTAATGTTGGCTCAATGAATCAAGAAAGTGTAGTTGCATTTTTTTTACAGGCTACCTCTTTGCAGCCCAAATAGTTTGGTAATGTATATCATTAGATTTGCTCCTGTTTTTCTCTTTTGCTTTGGTCTGTCATTCTTGCAGCATCTGCCGTCCTTTCTGGTCTGTTTTCCCTCCCGCTCTCCTTCTCCTCTACCATCTATGCTCGTTCTTTCTTCCCCTCTCTTTTCCATCTCTACTCTCTACCTCTTTTTTTCCTCTGCTATGTTTCTCACTAGTTGGTGTCTGACCTACTTTCTCAGATTGCTGCAGTACTCTCCTCCTCTGTATCATGAAAGCACACACATACACACAGACTGAGGTTCTCAAACACCCTCTACACTCCCCCACCCCCGGTATCAACCCCCACCCTCCTGTCCCAGTGAAGCGGGATAGTACCAGTGGGACCAGCACAGGATGTTCCCTTATTGGCCGAGCACCAGAAAGTCTTCACAAGTACAAATCACAACAACGAAGAGAGTTTCACCCTGAAGTGTTGTGCTCATTTTTTGTTTGTTTTTGTTTCTACTGTTCTTTTTATTCTTTACGACGTCAGACATTACTGATGCAAGGATTATAATAATAGTTAATAACTGAGTAGATGATAAGCATGGGGAACTGTAGAAAGCATGAGGATGCAGAGACTGGAAAAAAAGTGTGAGATCTTGTCTTCAAAGTGAGCTTTTTCATGTTGTCCTTTGCGCATGTATGAGCTAACACATACACAAGAGACTGCAAAAAGAAACTTGTGGCAAACCCGTAATAACACTGTATCGTTTATGTAGGTTACACAGGTGGAGACACAGGAGGGGGTGGACAAGTGGGAGGGAGACCAGACGATGCGGATCCATGCGTGGAGAAGCACGAAGGAAAAAGCCGAAGCACTCCAGAAGCAAGGACATAGAGTAATACGAGCGAGGTGAGAGGGATGGACGAATGCCAAAACGGTTAACAAAACTCAGAGATGTGACCGAGGCAAGATTTGCTCATTGTTCTGATGATGTTAACGTGATGTGACTGTGTGATGAAAAGACGACTTTTGCAATGACAAGCAAGAGGACAAAAAGTATGACGGAAATGACGGTGAGGGGAAGAGCGAGGAGCCAAAGAAAAAGAAGCAAACCTAACAAGCGACTGAAGGCTAATAATAAATGACAGGCCTTAGCAACTTCTGTCAAACGGAGGGACAGATGGAGGTCTGTGTCTTTTTCCAACATGTTATTCCATACAAGTGATTTCAAAGCTGCTAGGAACTTATGCATAAAGCTAGTTTATATTACTGAATCTCACACAAAGCTGGATTAGGTGAATGTCTGAATGTCAAATACGTCCATCTAATCGTTCTAGCACAAAAGTGGTAGAATCTACACTACCAGCCACTTCATTAGGTACACATGTTCAGCTATTTGTTAATGTAAATATCTAATGAGCCAATCAAATGGCAGCAAATCAATGCATTTTTTAACCTCCTGAAGTTCAAATCAAGCATCAGAATGGGAAAGAAAGGAGATTTAAGTGACTTTGAACATGGTAAGGTTGTTGGTGCCAGAGAGGCTGTCTGAGCATTTCAGAAACTGTTGATCTACTGAGATTTACTTGCACAACCATCTCGAGGGTTTAAAGAGAATGGTCTGAAAAAGAGAAAACATCTAGTGAGCAGCATCTCTCAAAAATGCCTTGTTGATGCCAGAGGTCAGAGGAGAATGATAGGAAGACAACAGTAACTTAAACAACCACTTGTTACAATCAAGGTGTGCAGAAGAATGAGCTAAGAACAGGAAACTGAGAATATAATTTGAAGGGTCTTACCAAAACTGGTAAGCAGAAGAAACATTTCCTCTGGTCAGATGAGTTTTGAGGTCTGTGACATCGTTCGCGTGGTAGAGTCAGAATGTGGTGTAAACAGCATGAAAGCTGGATCCATCTTGCCTGGTATCAACGGTTCAGGCCAGTAGGCTGGTGTGGTGTTGTGGTAGATATTTTCTTAGCACACTTTGAGATGCTTAGCACCAGCTGAACATTGTTTAAATGCCATAGCCTGCCTGAGTATTGTTGCTGACCATCTGTACCATCTGATGGTGTACAATGTTCTGATTGCTGCTTCCAGCAAGAAATTGTGGCATGATGCAAACTGGTTTCTTGAACAAGATAGTCACCAGATCTCACTCAGTAGAGCATCTAGATCCTCATTATGGAAATGCAGTCAACAAAACTGCAGCTACTTTGTGATGGTGTCGTATCAATACGTATCAAAATCTGTGAGGAATGTTTTCAGCACCTTGTTGAATCTATGCCATGAAGAATTAAGGCAGTTATGGAGGAAAAAGAGGCTCCAACCATTTACAAAGCAAAGTGTACCTAATAAAGTGTCCAGTGGGTGTTTCAATCTCTTTTCACTTTTGAATTTAATCTTCATGTTGTTGTTTTTTTCATTCACGTACCTCAGATACCTATATATAATATAATTATGTGGGCTCAGACACAGTAGATGCACACACCTTAAGCTTTTATACATCATTTTAAAAAAGGACAATTTTTATCTACTCACATATTAGCACCAAAATATGAAAGTTAAACAACTTTGTTTGAGCCGATCTGACAGTGAGCTCAGCTCACAAATTTAATACAGTGAAAATAATATTTCTGCTAAACCAAATGTAGCTGAGCGCACTGTTCACGAGCTTGATTTGTTGCAGAATTTTGTCTTAAACAGAGCAGATGTGTTTAGATTATTCAAACACACACATCTAAAAGCTGATTTGATTCCAGCTGCAAGAATCACTTCTGTTTACACTAAATAACATTTTCTTTTAACCTAAAAAAGCAAAATACCTCCAGTTAACTCAACATAAAGGGAAAACAAAACCAAAAA